ATTAGGATTATTTTTCATTTGAAATTAATTTACAATACAATAATCAATTGATTAATAAAGAATAATAACATCTGATTACAAAAGTCTTTATAAGCATAATTAAAAAATTTTACTATTTTATTTTTAATATATAAATATTAGAAAAACATTTTATCCTATAATAATTTTAAATATATTTTAATAAATAGAAAAAAGTATTGTGCCTAGTGAAAAATTTTTGTTAAATAATTTATAAATAATAATAGGCAGATTCATAAAATATAAAAAACTACAATGAATATGAAAATCTATCTTAGTAATTTATTATAATTGTGTACGAATAAAAATTTTATATTATCAAGTTTGGTTATATTATTATTGTTGCTATTGTTGTTATTGTTAATAGCCCTATTCTATTAGATACATATATAGTTATCATTAAATTATATAATTTAAAATATTTAATATTTTCTAACTAGATAAGATTTAAAAAATTATTTTAAATTATGTATTATGCTTAAAGCTAACTGTAAATAATGATTAAATTAACATTTTTTCAAAAAGTATTGAAATTGATAAAAAAAATGTCTTCTTTAATTAACAATAATAAAATATTTATAATGTATAAATCAATGAACATATTAAATAAAAGAGTAATATTCAATAGAAAAATATTCATTAGAAAAATAGCGGGCAGTGAAACAGCTGTTTTTTGAATGATGAGACATCTAGTGGAATGCGTATACATATGCAATAGCAACGAATGGACAAAATGCACGATACGGAACTGATCGCACTTGTACTTAGAAGAGCTGATTAAGAAACCATGGCAGCTGGTTGTTGTGGAACGAAAAAGCAAAAACTAAATGATTCCACTAGTGTTCCGCGTAACAATACTGTAAGTTTACAAAATAGTATTCATATGCGGAATTCTATAATAGTTCAACCTGAGATGGGCTTTTATTGTTTCGATGTCCTTTACTGCCAACTGCACCAACTTGATCCACCAAAACCACCCAACTTCAGTAATGAAGCTTTGTAAGTATTTGTTATTGACAACCTCTCTATATTTTTTTAATTTACTTTAAATATTTTTTTACTTTACTTTAAATATTTGAATATATAACTTCTAATACAACAGAATTAATATTTTCTGTATTTTATTTTTTATTTTTTTCATTATAAATTTTTATATTTCTCTTTTATATTTATAACTGCATCTAAAAAATTTTAATTTATGAATAGAATATGATTCAAATATTCTTTATTTCTATACATAGAATAATTACATTTTATTAAGAATAGAAAAAAATTATTAAATATTTTTTATTTTTATTATTTTTTAATGATATTTTATATAAGGCTTAAAAAGGCTAAATAAAAATATGTTATCTAAATATTTTCATAAATATTTTAATTAAAATTTGATCATTTTCATTGTTTTTTGTATTGTATTAAAGTAAGAATTTTTTAAATTTCAATGTATATTATTAAAATATAATAATATGAATGTGATATCTTTATATATGTTAATATATTATTATTACATTTGATTTTGAAGCCCTTTATTTGTAACATGGACTATTGGTAAAGATATGAGATTAAGAGGTTGCATTGGTACATTTAATGCAATGCATTTACATGCTGGACTACGGGAATATGCTACTACTAGGTATTATTTTAGATTAAAATTAATAATAATATAAGAACCATTTTAAATATATTACTTTTTATAGTGCTTTCAAGGACTCAAGGTTCAATCCAATAACATTGGAAGAACTTCCACGTTTACATGTAAGTGTTTCTATACTTCGACATTTTGAAGATGGAGCAGATTATTTAGATTGGATAATAGGGGTTCATGGAATTCGTATAGAATTTCATAATGAAAAGGGCAATAAACGAACTGCTACATATTTGCCAGATGTAGCAATAGAACAAGGTTTGTATTATACTTCAGTTTAAGTAAATAGAATTTGCAGAATTAACAAGTTTTTCTATGTGATTATTTCATAATATAAAGTAATTTATAATAAAGAATTAATAAGTTACTTAACAATTAAATTATACTTAATGTGCGTGTAAAAATACTTGTAAGATAATTGCAAGTATTCTGCAAAGTTAGAATTTTACTTATTTAGGATGGAACCAAATCCAAACAATAGACTCTTTACTACATAAAGGAGGCTATAAGGGGTTAGTTACTCCTGATATTAGACGTAGTGTCAAGTTAACTCGATACCAGAGTGAAAAAGTGACTGTGAGTTATCAAGATTATATGACACGCTGGCATGGTCAAAGATGCTAGCAACTGCCCTGGGGTTCTATTAAAGGGCCCCTCATTTGTTATATTTCTAACAACATTGATAATTTGAGTACAGATACATTTAATTGTTGTTTGCAATATATTAATTATCAATGCAATAATATAATGGCCAGTCAATATGCATTCATTATAATAGAATCTAACTACTTTTTTATGACACAATCATGTTTATTCTATAATTCAATATGTTTTAATTTTATCATCTTATCTATACAAAGTTATCTTTTATTTTTATATACAAAATTTGTTTGTTTATCAGTGCATCATAATCATTATTGGAGATGTCTTCCTATAAAAAATCATAGATTATGGAATATAAAAACAAACGTGGTATTAAAGACTCAATTTAATCTTTTACTATTTCCAATGGTGCCTATTATATGCTATATTTTATACTTACTTATTTTATAAAAAAAAAAAATATTTATTAACAAAAATAATAGGATTTTGGATATGTAGTGGCCTTATCTTTTCTGAATTTAATACTATTTACAAATAAGCTACTGAGTATAAGAGAATATTTGTGGAATTTAAGTTCAATTGGCAAATTTCTTCAGTTTTTTTTTATAGCTAGTATAAATATATTATTGTTTAGTTTATACAAGGCGTTATTGTTTGTTTCATTCTTTTATCCACAGTGTATTTTTATTTTATTTTGACTGTTCTTTTTTTTCATTCAAAATATAGTACTTAATAAATTTTCTTTAGCTATTAAATAATAATATTAATGTCTGCATTTATAATTGCAGTCCAAAATTTGTGATATACAAATAAACTTAATATATTATATAAGTAATAACATATATAATAAATATAGATGTTATTTATAATCACAAACTTAAATATTTTTTTAAGCATTAAATATTCTAACGTTTATTAATAATATATCTAATAAAAATTTTGAATAATAATAGAAAATTATTGAAATTAACAAAATAATAATTTTGAAATATAAAATATTTTATATTACTTTTTTGAGAAAAAAAGAATAAATAATAATCTATATATATATTTATAAAAAATTGAATGTAAATAATAATGTAAATAAGAAAAAATGTAAATAATAAATTAAATATAAAAATTATATACGCGTAATAGTAAAAATAAGTTGTAATTAAATTATTGAAATAAGAGAAAAAGTTGTGTTCTTTTCATTTATAAAAGTCTATATCTTTTATAATATGAAAAATATTGGAATGTTCCAAACAATATGTGCATGAAATATAACATTTTATCTATATGAATTTCTCATTTCATTCCTAAAAAGTATAAAAAAGTTGATAAAAATAAATTATCTTAATTTATTTATTAACAAAATTTAATAATATGAACTTATATTTTTTATTAAAAATTAAATTGAAAATATAATATGTCAAAAATACAAAGTAAAAAATTATTATTTTTAATATATAATTATCACATTCATATTATTAATATGATAGTTACATATTAAAAACAATACAATTATAATAATGTATATGTAATTTATACATGCAATTTATTGTGATATTTACTTTTTAATTTAATATATAAATGTGAATATTAAAATTTTATCAAAATTTATTATTTTAAATTTCCTTACCATTTTATCCTTACAACTTTTGATTTAATATATTCTGTAAAATTATTTTATATAAATTATTTAGTTGTATAATTAACTCATTTATTATTATTAATGCACTATGTTATAGTACAAATAATACAAGAATTCTAAATTTGTATTATTATAAATGTTCTATTTTTAATTAAATAAAAATTTATTTATAGTATATTATAATGTATATAGTAGTGTATATAACTTATGATATTTCCTATTTCATGCTTTCAACCTATATGATATATAGAAATATAATGTAAATATGTAAGTATATATTGGATATATATACATTAAGAAGATATGCATATATGTATAATATACTAAATAATAAATTATGTAAACATACCTATTATTATTACTAATATAGTCTTGAAGTCTTAATATGATATTTGTTAGATTTTGCATTGATAAAACTTGTAAATAGGTAATCAGACCACCTGCAATTGTATTGCTAATAAACAAAAATGATATGATCTTAGAATTAGGTTTAACAATGCTCCACCAAAGTTTCATAAGTTCCTTTCCTTCTCTTAAATATGGAACTCTGTATCCTATATTTCCAGCAATCTATAAAAAATTTTTAAAATTAGAAAATTAAATTAATTATATTGAAAATAACATAGAAAACATGAAAAAAATGAAAAATATTTTACCCCAATATTTATTGTTGGTGCTATAATTAAAGAATACAATAAGCTATTAACTTGTAGAAATGAAATTGCTTTTAATTCTTCACATATCAAACAATAAGGTTCATGCACCAATATTTTATTTAAAATAAACTGAAAATAAAAATTATTATTATTTATTATATTTTTTATTGTAAAATATTTTTTATTTATTAATAAGATTTAACATACGAATTGATGAGTTAAATACGAAGTAGATGATGGTGCTAATGCTAGAAATAATGTTGTCGTTTTTATACCATGATGACGTAACTTCAATTTATGTCTAAATATTGAGTTAATTATTATTCCATTAATAATACCAATTCCTGCTATTATTTTATTTCCATGTTTTAAAGACCAGCTTAAAAAAATAATATTATATATAATAATATATTTATAAACAATAAGAATTTAAAAAATTTGAATTCTTTAATATGTATTTAACAATAAATTAAGAATTAAAATTATAATACATACACTTCATTCTGTGGTTCCCATTGTTTAATTAAGTCCATTCGATTTTTAATAAGATTATACTCATATTCATAACCTAACATAATTAATGATGTTATTTTTAAGTTTTTTAAATTATTATTTTTTTTTTTTTTTATTTTAAAATCTTCACAATTATTGTTTGATTTAAGATGTAATATATTTTAATTATATAACAATAAACAAAATGAAATAGATTTATCTTATGAGACTTCGTAATGTTCGTATTTCATATTCTGAAATACCGATTGTGTACGTTTGTAATATACTCTCTATGATTTAAGAATTTATCACAGATGGAGATAATCATGAAATTTATCTATCTATAAAAAAAAACGTGATTTATTAATTAAAATTTTGATTGAAACTTCATCATTTTTCTATGTCAAAATTATTTAATATCAAGTATGACTTTTATTATTAATGGAATGAAATAAAATTATATTATATAATATCATTCAAATTATTTGTTAACATAATCACTTTGTTGAACAATATCAATCAACAAACGGAAGATATTTTTTACTAAACAAATATATATTTTTTAATAAGATATGTTTCTTTAATAAAATGATGATGAAAAGAAAAGAATAAACTAAAAAAAAAATAACAAAATACAATGATCAATTACCACTTCAGCTTTTTTAGCTAGAAACTTAGATGATCTAAGAGCACGAATTTCCATCATATTAGTGGACAAATTTTGGGCATTTTGTTAACGCAACACTACTTAAAAAACGCGATCATTTATCAACGCAACACTAATCGAAACAATCACGATGAAACGATATCGCAACACTAATTTTAAAATGAATCAAATAAAAATTTACTATTACTATACAAAATAACAAATATTCCGATATAAATATAGAACGCAACATTATAAAAGGCAACATTAAAAAATAAGTTAAAAACTAATGATTTTACAATTTAAGTATAAATATAAAGAATTTTAATAAGAA